AAAACGTCAAAAGCATCCTGCCCTAGAAATCCGTTGTTGAATAGATGAATTCTTGGGTAGGAAATGTCTTTTCCTTCGCTCCTTTTTGTTCAGGTGTTCCACATTTATCTTTTTTTTTTTTAATGAGGTCCTTCTCCTTTACTTGTCTTATTCTCCAGTTTTAACAACACCTGAAAACCTTAAGAAATGTTTAATTTTAGGTGACTGCCCTAGAAATGCAGGTTTTATTGGCGACTTCAGGTTTGTGAGGGCTTATTTCAAATTTGTAAGTCATAATCAAAGTGTTGCAATCAACCAGCGAGAAAATAAACATACAGAAATCAATCCCTTAACTATCAACTCTTCTTATCTCTTGGGCATATATTGCATCTATTGTAATCTCTCTGGTTGGAAGGCATTAATTAACTACAAACAAAGCAGACTTTTGTTTTGATTATCCACTTTCATATAGGTTGAGTTTCCTGGTTGTGAAATGCTATGATGTGTGGCTGGTTAGAGTTTTGTCTTTGCCCAGTTGCTGTTTATTGCAAAGAAAAAAGAAAAAAAAAGTGCTTCAGTACAAATTGTTCTGGTTTGAGGTAGTGTTTCAATCTGATAGCTTTTATTCATGAAGCTTCAAGGGTACGATTTCCCATCATCCCAATGTTGGAAGGAAAATCCATCTGGTTCGGTTCCAAGCTGGGAGAAAGATGCTGGAAAACAACATGGAGGGTGATTGGAAAGATGGTTTAATGATGAACAGAACCAACACACAAAGACAGCATGCATTTCTGGGTCACCTGGCTGAATAAATGGATGGATCTTTAACTTTCTAAGCTAGTTTCCAACCACGAAACCGCCTAATAGTCTCCTCTCCAAGTCCTAACCCATTTTATCTACTTAGCCCAGAGCAGTGGTGGTATTCAGCTGGTTTGTACTGGATTGGGCAAACCGGTAGCAAGGATTTGGCATGGCTTGCCAAACCGGTAGTAAGTTCTGGCTGGCCACGCCCCTGACCCAGTCGCCTAGTTGCCGCTGGCTCGCTTGCCCTGCCAGCCTGATGCTTGCCCCTTAAGGTGATTCTTTCTTTTCTTCCCTTCCGACAATCCGCTGTTCATACGATCAGCTGTGTCGGGATTCTCCTTGCTGAGGCCCAGAGGAGTCTTCTGGGAGCAGAAACCGCCCCCTAGACAAACATTTATCTGAAATTATATAGGCTGTCCTGCCTGAGCAGGAGGTTGGACCAGATGACCTCCAAGGTCCCTTCTAACACTGTTATTTTGTTATTGCGGTATTAAATTACATTCACAGATTGCCGCATTCCTACAAACTCTTGGCAGTTTAGAGATCCAGATATGTAAAGAACGCTATAAAACAAACCAAAAATATTTAAATAAAAGTTACACAAACGGAATGGCGAGGCAACAGAAAGTTAAATTAACCAAATCCAGTGATAAGCAAACCAAGATGGACCTGGAGGCCTTCGAGAAAGGGATTTGCTTTGAGCAGTTTCCAAAAGATGGTCAGGGTGCAGAGAGCCACAGAGATGATCTCAGAGAAATTGTGCCACCGCATTTAGCCAAAGATTTAAGACCAAGTCAGAAGAAAATGTTAGAAAGAAACCAGGGGTGGGATTCAAAATTTTTAACAACCGGTTCTGTGGGTGTGGCTTAGGTGGTGGGCGTGGCTTGGTGGTCATGTGCCTGGTGGTCATGTTATTGGCTGGGTATGGCCAACTCAATATCACATCAAGGCACGCATCTCCTCGCCTGTCCTCTCATGACTGTGGGGGTGCTGCAACAGTCGTAAGTGTGAAAAATGGTCATAAGTCACTTTTTCAGTGCCATTGTAACTTTCAATGGTCACTCCACACAAGCAAAGTACCAGCAAAGGAGGGGAAAAACACTCCAGAGATGTTCCTGAGACCGGAAGTCTAGTCCTACCAAGAATGTAATAAGGGTTAACGGAGAGGCAGTTTCTGTAAGCAACACCAGAATGTTTCCTTCCTTCCTTCCTTACAGGATTAGGCCAGTAATTTCTTCTAACAACTGGTTTTCCGAACTGCTTGAATGTTAACAACCGGTTCTAGCAAATAGGTATGAACTGGTAGAATCCCACCCCTGAAAGAAACTCAGGCCAGTTAATGTCTTGACTCTCTTTGGTATGGTCAGGATTTCAAGATTTGGTTACTAGAGTTTGTATCCATAAAGTAGAGTTCCAATGTTACTTGTGGAGACTGTTTCTTGACCAACCTATCTTGAAGGGCTGGTAGAAGCCAACCAGATGTCTACAGGAAGTTCATTTCAAAGAACAGTGCAGCCACTGAAAAGCAACACTATCAAACACAATCCCTTCCTCATCTCTACAAAATGGGCACTGTTGATAGCTTTTTTCCAGGTAAATCAAATTAAAGACGTCTCATTCTGAGGTTCTTCTGGACTTGTGACTCCAGTTGGAGCAGTAGGTAGACGCCATGGAAGGAAAGTCTTTGGCCAACTTTGGTGGATCTTCCAGCTGTGCCTATTCATGAATGGGAGTTATAAAAGTTGTCAGTTGTCACCTATCAATTAAACTAAAACTAGACTGAAAGTCACTTTACATGGGCTGTCCTGGAAGATAAGAGCTGAAGCTAGCCTAGAACGCAGTTACTTGCCAGTTGATCAATGCCATTCAATTCATTAAAATAACCCTTCTTTTTTTGAGAACAACACAGAATGTCACAAATTGTTACATTAAAGGTACCGGCAAGGATGGGATTCTATCAGTTTGCACCTATTCTCTAGAACCAGTTGTTAACATTCTAAGCAGTTTGGAGAACCAGTTGTTAGAAGAAATTACTGGGCTAATCCTGTAAGGAAGGCAGGAAAGAAACATTCTGGTGTTGCTTATAGAAACTGCCTCTCCGTTAACCCTTATTACATTCTTGGCAGGACTAGACTTCCTGTCTCAGGAACTTCTCTGGAGTTTTTTTCCCTCCTTTGCTGGTACTTTGCTTGTGTGGAGTTGTAACTTTATACCATTGTGCCATTTTAACTTTAAATAGTCATTCAAAGTTACAATGGCACTGAAAAAAGTGACTTATGACCATTTTTCACACTTACGACTGTTGCAGCATCCTCACAAGAGGCCAGGCGAGGAGATGTGTGCCTTGATGTGAGTGATATTGAGTTGGCCACACCCAGCCAATAACATGACCACCAAGCTATGTCCACCCAGTCACGTGACCACCAAGCCACGCCCACCAACTAAGTCACGCCCACAGAACCGGTTGTTAAAAAATTTGAATCCCACCCCTGGGTGTTGTGACTCCGAGACTTGAACCTGATCAGTCAGCAGATGTGGGTTCGAGCGAGGAAGAAGATCTGGCACTGAGATTCGAGCCTGCATTATTAAGTGACTTGGAGGGGAGTCAAGTAGAGGGAGAGGAGTTGGGTTTGAGAGATGAACCTGATTTATTGGAAGATTCAGAGGCCACTCTCTCCCCTGAAACTACTTCCCTAATTAAACCTCAGGTGTTAACTGTTAATCAGGAAAGTGTGTCAGAGGTTTCAAGCGGAGATGAAACTGCCGGATGCTGGCTGGATGCCAGAACTAGGAGAAGATTGAGACGTCAATCTCAATTAGAAAAGAGACGTCCAGCAAAGGATTAATTAATGAGACTGACACGCCCTTTCTTAGAGGATATAAGGGAGCGCATGACTTTGAAATCTTTGCTGGAAACAAAGTGAGTTTTGCCTTGGAAAGATTTGCGTCTGACTACTGCGTTGTGATTTACGAACTATACAGAATTGCCGGACAGATTCTAGGAGGATCGCCAAAGGACTGTGATAACAGAGCAATTGAATCTTCTGTCTCTGGTTTTGTTTACGTAAAGTATTTGAACTATATAACTTGAAGTTTCATCTGTGGATACAGGTGGGACAGAACACCTGGGTAACGGTAAAGGTTCCCCTCAACGTATGTGTTAGTCATTCCTGACTCTAGGGGGCAATGCTCATCTCCATTACAAAGCTGAAGAGCCAGCGCTGTCCGAAAACGTCTCCATGGTCTTGTGGCCAGAATGACTAAAAGCCAAAGGTGCACGGAACGCTTTTATCTTCCCACCAAAGTGGTCCCTATTTTTCTTCTTGCATTTTTCCATGCTTTCAAACTGCTAGGTTGGCAGAAGCTGGGACAAGTAACGGGAGCTCACCCCGTTACGTGGCGTGATGGATTCAAACCGCCGAATGTCTGACCTTTCAATCGACAAGCTCAGCGTCTTAGCCGCTGAGCCACCGCATCCCAATCAATTCTTACATTACAAACCCACAAATGTGGGCTAACCAACACCGTCCACAGTTCCTAAAGTCAAGAGGATAGTTACAGCTGCACACTTGAAGATGATGATCATGTGATTGTTATCTGTTTTTGGCTGTTTTGGCTTCCAGGGATGGAAGACACTTTGGGGTTAACTCCTTCCACTGGTACCTTGGTTGTAACATGCCATTGTTCTCCAACCTTTACAAATTATTGAAACTTGGTCATTAGTTTCCCTTCTACTGCTTTGCTGTTAGGAAGCCTAAACCAATATCTTCCGTTCTACATTTTACTCCATCCCTGCATTCTGAGCAAGTTATTAAATTAATAAGTTCATAATATTCATTGAATGCTTCAAGCATCTGTTGAGGTAAATAGAGCATTGCTAATAAAACAGGATTGCTGATTGAATCTGAATGTCTGCAGAGCACAATTATTAAAAAAAAAAACCTTCAGGGATATCTCTGTCTGTTGTTTAATATATGTGTCTGTGAGTTAAATCAGATGGAGGAGCATCCAGAGGGGAAAGAAATATAGTTTGTTGATCTGTGTGCCTCACAATACTCTATTAAAGTCATTCATAATTTCATTTCAGAATAATACAAATTGGGAGTTTTGTTTTCAATTTAATGACCTTTTTCTCCTCTTCCTTCTCTGTCTCTGTCTCTGTCTCTCTGTGTGTCTCTGTCTCTCTCTCTCTCTCTCTTTTTTTTTTTTTGCAGAACGGTTGGGAGAAAAACTATTGAAAATCTCCGGTCGAGATTCCTAAGTGTTTCACATTGTATGAGAAAGAGGCAACCTTACAAAAAAGGACACATTTTCTAGGTGAGATGCCAAGAAACATGGTGTCAGACTACTCAGGAATGGGATATGAAATTCCTTCGGAGGTCCAGTTTGGAAACTTGGAAAAACCACATCCTCTTGAGAGTGGAAAAGCACTCACAGATCAAAAACACTCAATTTTGGTAAGTGGTCTGGAAATAAGAAGAACCTTTTAATTTTTATATTGTACAGCTAGAGTGTGTAGCTGGGGGGTTGCAGTCCTTGGACAAAGGAATGACACCTTGTGGATAATTTATCTTATTGGTGGCCTTGCTTTGAAAAAAAAAATACCTTTTAAAGGTAAAGGTAAAAGATTCCCCTCGCATCTACGTACTAGTCATTTCCGGCTCTAGGGGGCGGTACTCATCTCCCTTACAAAGCCTGAAGAGCCAGTGCTGTCAGAAGACGTCTCTGGTGGTCATGTGGCCGGCATGACTAAACGCCGAAGGCGCACGGAACGCTGTTACTTTCCCACCAAAGGGGTCCCTATTTTCCTACTTGCATTTTTTTACATGCTTTCGAACTGCTAGGTTGGCAGAAGCTGGGACAAGTAACGGGAGCTCACTCCGTTACGCGGCGCTAGGGATTCGAGCCATCGAACTGCCGACCTTTCTGATTGACAAGCTCAGCGTCTTAGCCACTGAGCCACTGCATCCCATTTTACGATTTACTAGATTTCTATCCACCTTTAACTCTTTTTAAGTAGCTCAAAGCAACACGCATATATAATAAATACTCCTTCTTTTTCTTGTTTTCCCCCAAGAGCAATCCTGTGAAATGGATTGGCTGAGAGAAAGTAACTGATCCAAAGTCACCCAGTTGGCTTTCATGCCTAAGGTGGGACTAGAACTCACAGTTTTATGCTGATTGGCCCAAAGGCGGCTCGGTGACTTGGGCCAATCACCAGGAGACAATAAATTCTGTTCCCACCGTAATCACGAAAGCTGACTGGATGATTTTGGGCCAATCAGTGAATTCTAGTCCCACCTTAGGCATGAAAGCCAATTGGGTGACTTTGAGCCAATCACCTGGAGATGGTGAGTTCTAGTCCCGCCTTAGGCCTGAAAGCCAGTTGGGTGACTTTGGGCCAATCACCAGGAGATGGTGAGTTCTAGTCCCGCCTTAGGCATGAAAGCCAGCTGGGTGACTTTGGGCCAGTCTCTCTCCCTCAGCCTAACCCACCTCACAGGGTGGTTGTTGTGGGGAAAATAGGAGAAGGAAAGGAGTATTCTGTATGTTTTCTGCCTTGAGTTATGTATAAAAACAATAAAGATGGGATAGAATGAATGAATGAATGAATGAATGAATGAATGAATGAATGAATGAA